GAGGAGAAGAAGAAGCAGAAGAAGAAGCAGAAGAAGAAGCAGAAGCAGCCTTAGGGCCAGGGTGATGGCTCAGTAGAATAAGTGCTTCCCTGGCAAGCACAAGGACCTGAGTTTAATCCCTGGTTCTGAAAAAAACAAACAAACAACACCTTTATTCTTCTAGTCATTTAAACTTTGTATTAAAAGACATGAAAACAGATTTATTTAAACTTTGTATTAAAAGACATGAAAATCTGTCTTTTTGTTTTTGCCACCATAGCAGTCATTCAAATGTGTATGTAAACAGAGGTCTGAACAACCATAGAACAGTGAAGTTTATATAGATGCTTTTTGAGTGATGTTATCTTCATTAAACAGAAGGTGATTAAGTAGGGATAAATAATGATCATATGCACCATTTCTGCTGCAAATCAAATGCTCTTATATATTGACTGTTCAGAGTGATACTCTATTTGCAACTGGTAATGTTCCTGTCATTTGGAAAAATATCAGAAAAGCAGCTTGGAATAAGATACTCCTAGGGAGGCTGTTTCACTGAGTGGAAAACCAAGGAGAAACGGCTCACCTCTGTGGATGCGACATGTGCTAGCCAAGAACAGGCGGTGCAGTGACAAATTACCCCCATGCTCCGGCAACTCACCAGTTAAGGCAGAATTTAGTTGCTTAACACCTTGTATGCCATTTCTGCATATTTGGGAAGGGTATTTTTCTCCAGAAATGCTGGTCCATTGTCAGGTCATGAGCTGTGTTGCCTGTTGTGTTCAAATATTGCTTGGAGAGCAGCTGTGTGCTATACTTCAAGAACATTTCCATCTTGCCTAAGAGTTGGGGTTCTGCAGGAGAAGAAAGAGAAAAAGACAGCCAGCTCAGGGGAGAGTGAATAGAAGAAATGTGGCCAAAACTTCTTTGAACAAGAAATCTTTTTGAAATTCACTGCTTTTGCTTTGCATGCTGGCATACTGTGAGGCTGGTGGAGCTTGGAGGCCATACTACACTGGCTTGCCTCTTTCTACTTTACTGCTGGGCTTGGTTTGCCTCTCCTATCAGTGTAGTGGAAGGCACTGTGTGTTCTTTGTCATAAATTGCTTGTTACTTAATTTTTTGGGAAGCAATTACTTAATGAGTAACATCCAGAAAAATAGGAAATAGGTTCTGTGTTAGTCAGCTGTTTTATCACTGGGACATATACCTGAGAAGTAATTTCTTCAAGGAGGAAATCTGTACTTTGGCTCACAGTTTCCATGGTCTGGTGGTCTGGTGGCTTCACTTACTTCAGGCCTGTGATGAGGAGAAGCGCTTGGGGCAAGAAGGCTTCTCACTTTATGTAGCTGGAAAACATGAAGGCATAGAGGGAAAGAGCCAGTGAGCTGGGACCAGAGGTAGTCCTCGAGGTCATGACCCCATGATCATGCCTTTCATCTAGGCCCCACCTTTTATTTCTGTCACTTCTCACTGCCATCAAAGCTAGGCATTGTGGCACACGCGAATAGTCCCAGCACTCAGGAGGCTGAGGCAGGAGGATCTTGGGGAGTTCTGAGGCCAGTTTAGGCTACATAGTAAGTTGCAGGCCAGTTTGAACTGGGTAGAGAGACTCTGTTTGAAAAACAAACAAACAAATGAAACAAAACAGAACAGGCCACCAAATTATGATCTCATCAGAGGATCACTCCACTTAACGACACTGGAGACCTTATGATCTTGTCACTTTCTGCAAAGCCCATGAGCTGGCAACAAGCCTTGAACACATGAGTTTGGGGTGTTATGTCAAATCCAGTTCATTGTAGACCCAGGGTTGAAGAGTGTTGGGTGAGTAATGAAAACAGGAAGGACAGTAGGGGCATTTTGACGACTACTGTTTTGGGACATAGCTTTGAGTAATCTAGATCTCTAAAGTCTGTATTTGTTAGTCTCTAATTATTCTTTTTTAATTTGAATGAAGTCACCATGTAAAATAAATATATAAATGAAGTAATAGTTTGATGGCAGCTACCTATACTAAATACCTAAGTGCTTTTCTGCTGGTGACAGCCACCTTATTTTGATGTTTGATATTTGGGGAGCTTCTAGCATTTATTTTATTCCCAGTCTTTCCCTGAAAATGATGGAAAGGCAGAGGGTCAGGGCACAGTTTATCTACTTTTTCATTATGGGGAGCTGTCATTAAAATGCAGAAACTTCTTTGAGTCCTAAGGTGGTTGTTTATTTGAATGAACTCCTCTATTTCTAGTTTCATAGAACCTCTTCTTCAGCCAACATGGGATCTCTTTTTGATTTATTCAGAAGTAAATTCTTAATTTCTGCTGAAAGCTAATACAGTATTTGCAAAGTTGCAGATTGCCAGTAACTCTTTATTCTAAAATAATTTCAGGGTACCTGCTGGTGACACTTGATAAATAGCTTTATTAGCTTTGACCCAGAGTCTAATTTTTTGATACTTCAAACAAACAAAAGTCTATGTATATCAGTTTTAATTATGAGATATGTTTAATTTGAGCTGCAAGTAATCATTGAGCTCTTGTAGTCAATAAAGCAGTTTCAGGGCTGGCCAAATAGCTCAGTGCATTAAAGTGCCTGCCAGTAGGCACAGGGGCAGGTGGTTTGATCCCCAGGGCTGCCATGTCAGTCCTGCCCCTGGGGCACGCTGAAATGGCAGTTGAGACTGAGCATGATGGCGTGCACCTGTAATCTCAGCTCTTGGGAGGTTGTAAACAGGCAGATCACTATGAGTCTGATCTATTAGTGAGACCCTGAACACCCTGTAGACCCTTCCTTAAAAATACAAAATAAATGAATAAATAAATAAAACAGTTTATTCCATAAATAATGACTGTGGTGGATGGACAACTGCTGGTCAGCTTGTAACACCCAGCTGAATTGAACCAGCAAGGTGTTGGATGTGGGAGGCCCCCCTGAGGATTGTTGCTGGAGCATAAGAGATAGAACTAGAGAGGAAGAAATTTAGAGACTGTAGGGAGCTGTTGGTTTTCCTGATAAACTCTGATGTTCTCATTGTCAGAGGAGCTTGGGACCTTACTATTGCTGAGAATGGCTATTGGTTCACCTTGAGGAGCTCTGGTCCTCACCTTGAACATCACCTCCTGGCTCTAGAGGGCAAGTAGTAGGACACTGTTCAGTCTCCTGGAGAAGCTTGTCACATTGGATTTTCTGACAAGGACTCAGCTGTTCATATTGTCTGAGGAGCTCTGGACCTCACTGTTGCTGAGGATGGCTGTGGTACTTTTGGGAGGAGCTCTGGTTCTTATCTTGAGCATTACTTCCTGACTCTAGTGCAGATCCCTCAGCCTGCTAGCACAGATCCTTCTTCCCTGTCTTGGTTACTTTTCTCTCATTGCTGGGACAAACTACCCAACACCCAAAATTAAGTCAGGTGAGGTTTATTTAACTCACAGTTTGTGGAGGTTTCAGTCCATACTCAGCTGGCTCCAAGGCAGAGTGGCACATGGCTGAGGGCAACAGTTCATAGCGGCAGAAAACAACAAAGAGTAAAGGAAGAAACAGTGGCTGCAGGTTGCAAGACTTTCTCCTGTCCTTACATTATATTCAGGCTATCTACTCCAGGGCAGGTGTAGAACTCATACCATAATTCCAGCATTAATAACAAACTCCAGAAGTCTGCCCCAATGACCACATGAGGCTTTGGGGGGACAACTAGACACAAACCTTAACATCCCTCTGGCACAGACTTTCTAGCTTCCACCACTACCCTTTGGGCCTTCCAGCAGAGACGCGTGAGACAGGCCTGCATGAGACATTGTTGTGGGCTCTAGGCCTCCAGGTGGATTTGTGGGAGGCATTGCCATGGTCTGTAGGTCTTCCACAGGACTCAAGCAAGACATTATCATGGGATTCAGGCCCTCAGCTGGATTTTTTAGTTTTAAGTGTGTGGTCTTTAGTGTGTGGACAGATTTCCTGCACTCTGTATGATTCTTTGGGTGACTATTATAAAACAATTCTATAAATTATATGTCCTGTATTGTTCTCCTTGCAAACCTCAAACTACAACAGTGACCAAAATAAGGACACAATAATGTGTAATCTGAATTTCCCTGGGCCTCAACAGCCTACAGGAAAAGAAGACCTCACATCAGTGAGCACAGGATGGGTCTCCACAGCCTTCTTAGGCAGACCTTGCCATCGCCACAGGGGTCCCAGAGGTAGGCGCTCGGTGTAGTCTTGAACAAGTCATCCCACCACTGTCATCACAGCAACATCTGTGGGGGCTCCTCACCCTCTGTGTTCTTCTTTGTTGCTGCCTCACCCCATCCTCGGGTGCAGCAGTGCTGGGTTCAGATGGTCGCCACTCCTCCCATCTTGTTCCTGGTCACCAGAACATTTCTGCTTGCGGGGACCCTCATGAGAAAGCACTTCTTCATTTCTACCTAGGGCATTCATCTTTCCTCCTATAGGGCTCACGTACAAGTTAGCAGAGCTTAGCCAAGAGTAAGATATACCTGCCCCCTTCCCACACAGTCCCCCATGTTCTTGTAGTTTCCTGTTCTTGTAGTTTCCATCTGAGTTTATGACAGTGAACAGCCACTGCATTAGACATGATTGATGGGGGCATGTAGTACTTGATGACAGCAGCCAACACATAACCACTGATTGAGTGGCACATGCATAGCCATCCCATTGGGCAGTCTGAACCATTGGTGGTACAAACTGATCTAACCACTTTTCCAGTCTTTTTAATAATAAAATTAATGAAAAGCTGCCTGATGGGCCAGTCATGTATGGGCCACAGTGGTTCAAGTTGCCCAGCAGTGAGACACATGAATCCTAGCCCCCTGGAACACACCCTATGTGGTCTGTGCCCATGGAGAGAGGTAGGGCGGGACCCTCTGCCTCGCTTACTTGCTGTTGTAGGGTGCATGAGAAAGTTTGATTCTGGGGAGACTAAAGGTTGGAGAGCAAGTTAGTCATTTCATGTCTGGAAAATATTCTTGAAACCTTTATTATAAAGAATGATGAAGAGAAGTGATTATTCTTTGGTCCTTGTTCTAGGCTGTTGCCATGGAGTGAGTGTTAATGTAAACTTAACTTTTCCTCATTTGGATCAACAGAATGGAAAGACGTGATGTTTACAGGCCTGAAGACATACCCTGCAAGTCATGTGTTTTGTCTTTTTCACAGAAACCTTAATCTTAGTTCATGCTTCTGCTTTCTTGGAAGCTTGGAAGCATATAGAAGTAAGCACCATCGTAGCTGCTGAAAGAAGTGGTTGTTCAGGGTGAACTGGCTCCTGCACAGGCACAGGCACATACCGCAGGTCCTTGCCCACCCCCTTTTAGATGAGTAGTGTAGTTTTGCCTCTTAAGAGGGCAGACATCTGCACATACTTTATTCTACCCAGGAAGCCCTCATGTCCTCCTGCTGCCTTTGTCTTCAGGTCTGTGACACAAAGATGCCTTTGGTCCCTAGCCAATAATGTCTTGGGTGAAATGGGGTTTGGCACTCCTTGCCAAGCCCTTTGCCACCATGCTTTTTCATGGTTGCTCATGAGAGTTTAAGAGATTTATACTAAGCTGGGTGTGGTGGAGCTACCTGTCATCCTAGCACTCTAGGAGCTGAGGCAGGAGGTGCCCAAGTTTCAGCCCACCCTGGGCAATTTAGCAAGACCTTGTTTCAAGGTTAAAAATAAATTAATAAAGAAGTTTACACTGCGGAGCGGTTGTATGCTTTCCACTGAACCAGTGTCTTTTTTTTTTGTTTGTTTTTTTAAATGTATTTAGTACAGTCTACAGGGTCTTATTACATAGATGGGATTCATAGTGATTCTCCTGCCTGTTTTCAGCCTCCCAAGTGCTGGGATTACAGGTTCGCACCACCAGCCCAGTCTCATTTGCCATCTCAGTGTGCCCCAGGGGTGGGGCCAGCACAGCATGCCAGGGATCAAACCCTGGTTGCTGCACTCTGCCTAAGCAGGTGCTTTAGTTGGCTGAGCTGTCGGGCTGGCCCTGAACCAGAGTTTTCAAGCTCATAAGATAAAAAATTCTGCAGCAGGCCCTTACTGTGGTAGCTCATTGTATAGAAGTGGCAGGTGCCCAGAGTGTGATGCTGGTAGTAGTCTTTCACTGGTGAGCTTAGTGGTGGGAGAGGTCCTCCTTGCCTGGGAGAAAGGAGTTCAGAGCAGCGGTGGTGAAGGTCCAGTTTGTAGGACGACAGGGCACTTCCCAGGAGAGAAGGAAGCACACCCCAGGAGAGGGGGGAGTAGGCACAGAGGCCAGGAGGGGATGAGACATTCCCCGAGGTAGGAGTCCATCTGGAGACTCCTGTTCTGCAGAGGGTGAGATCGAAAGAGGATCTGTGTGTGTTTGAAGCAAGGGAGCAGATGGAGCGCACTGACCAGCATGATGGGAAGGCAGGGAGTGGGGAGAGGATGAGTCCTTTCTGGGCGTCCACTGGTCTGGACACACTTCAGGGCCTGGTCCCAGTCCTGCGCTAGGACCTGCCAGACTGAGGGTGGCTCTCTGTTGTTCCAGGTACCTGATCCCCTGCAACCACATGATGCTGAGCCAGCGATGGGCTGTGAAGGAGAGAGACTGCTACTCGGTGTCCGCTGCCAAGCTGCTGTCCTTGACCCCAGGCTGCTGCGCCAGTGGCATCACCCTAACGCTTGGGAACCAAGAGCGGGATTATATTCTCTGGTCCAAGTGCACACACGATGGCTCAGGTAGGTGCTTGGCAGTCTTTAAAACTGGGTGCTAGACTCCAGTACTTTCGGGTCCAGAGCAATGTGCAGTCCTGTTTCTGGTGTGAGTGCCATAAAGTGCCATGGAGACCACCCTGCTCATGAAGGACCCTGCTGTCACCTGGCAGTTATCTCAGACCATTATTAGTAAGCTTTGTAGTGGCACTTGGAAGAATCCACATGTGAAAACATGTTAGTATGTGTACCTTCCAAAGTAAAGTCAGGGGCCAGCAAGATAGCTCAGCGGTCTAAAGTGCCTGCTTAGGCAGAGCACATGCCATGCCAGCCCCACTCCTAGGGCAGGCTGAGCTGGCCACAAAAAAAAAAAAAAAAAAAAAAAAAAAAAAGTGGAGTCAAAGTTATGTAAGTGGCGATGGCTGTAGGTAAGATAGAATTAGTCTTTATTTTAATTTCCAAAATGATCAATTTGTGGATAGTCTGCCTGTCAATGATACATCTTTATAAAAATTGAGAATTATGAGATGGCAACATTATCTGATTAATTTGATTGATGTAATGGGGAGTTCTGTAAACACTATTTTTATAGAAGTTAGATTTCTTATGTACTGTTTGCTAGCTTTCATTCACTCTGTACAGGCACAATTTGAATAGCTGCCTCTGTTACCCTTGGTCCTCTGGCAGGTACTTGGTAGCAAGTGTTTGTGTATCTGTGGTGATCACATGGCTGTTGCAGCTGAGGAGCATGCTGTGACTGCAAGGAACTGCCTTAGTCCTGCTGCTGCACTATGTGCTTCTCCTCCAGGAATATCATCCTGCCCTCCCAGCCACAGCGCTGTGCAGTACTTTAAAGGGGGGACTGCTTCACTGAGGAACTCTCAGCATATGTGATCTAGGCTTAATATTTGAAAATTAAGTTTGTCTCATGATTTTTAAGGACTCTGGGGATGGGAGGAAATTAACAATTTGTGTGACTGCATCTTACATACATTTTTCTGTCAGGCAAACTAGTTTGGAGATCTTATTTTCTCATTCAGGAGTATTTGCTTTGAAAGCATGTTTGAAAATGAGTACATTTTTATTTACTATGAAAGTTGTTTCAGGAATGATTTTATGGCTAAACTGGCCTCAGAATTCAAAATTCAAATTGAATGCATGATGTCCAAAACTTGGCAGCTTCTCTCTGCGTGATCATATTTGATACATAAAGAAAGCAGGATCGCCTTTTTACAGATGAAGAAGAAACTTAGGGTGAGGAATTGACGTGCTCAAGGTCATGTCACTAAGAGACGCACTGGTTCCACGTTTCGTGCTTTGTGCACATCCTGCCTCTGGGGCTGCCTGACTGCTGAGGATGCCAGCTGGGGGAACCATGTAGCCAGGTAGCCGGCCAGTGTAATTGCTATGACCTGGTCAGAGCTAAGCTTCAGATTCTTGGCACTTCCACTGCTGGGGGCAAGTTACGTAAGCCCTCTAAGCTTCTTTTCTCATCTGTAAAAAACAGTATCTATCCAAAGGGTTGTCCAAGGATCAGTGAATTATGACTCAGACGGTTCTTAGAAGACTGTGGCATGTAGTAAGTACCTAGTGAAACTGTTAGCAGTAGCTTTTGGCATATTTTTATTTAAATTACATTAAAATTAATCTTTTTGCAGTAGAGCAGTGAAAAAAATAGTTACAACTACCTAATGACCTGAAAATGTGCCCCTCGTCATGTAGCAGCTTGATTCTGACGCAGACTGGTAGATTCATCTGAGGAAGCCGGGGCTCACAACAGTGTGACTGATGTGGGGAAGGGGCTGATCTGAGGTCAGCCTGGGGTGATTGAGGGTGAGCTCTGTTACCCATGAGCCTCTGTTTCATCTGTCTGTGTGCAGCAGCATCTACCACAGAGGGCCTCAGGGGTCAAAGCCAGTGCATTGACAGGGTACCCACACCCTTCCATGGTCAGTAAATGGGAGAATCTGCATTTTCCTAGTCTTTTTTTCCCTCTGAGGGAAAATGTAAATTTGAAATGCAAATATTTTCACAAGTATTTCAGTACAGGGGTCAGAACTCTTAACATCAAAGATAGTCATATGTCCCAATAGAGAGGATTCTCAAGTTAAAATGACCCTTTTGGTAGTAATATGACTTTAGGTGACAGTTCAATGCTTAAGTCAACATCCTGACAGTTCAGAAAGGCAGAATGAGTTCTTTGGCTTTATAAAAAGCCCAACGTTTTCAACAGAAAGCCTAGTTCCCCAATTCATGGGTCACCAAGCTCTCACTTTAGAGTCAAAGTAAAAATACTCTTAATTATTACTCAGTGGCAGAGACTCTATGATGTGTGTATCAATGGGATCCTCTCACCCCAGAGGTGGCCCTGAGTAGCTCTTGTTTCTGTAGGGTCTGATTTCAACAGTTTATGTGAGCTATACCTTGGATTTGGCCATTTGACTTTTACCTTCTGTGAGGTCTTCGGTTAGCATCTCTGTTGCTATCTTTCCTTTTAAAAATCTGTTCAGTCCTCAACACTACAAAATAGAATATAACAAAAACTAATCATGTTTTGTTATTTAGGTATCATTTAATCAGAAATCACCAGGCTTTTGTGACATGGTCCTAGCTGGCACAGGTCACATCCCGCCTGCCACATTTGTCTCCAGTTGCTCTGACTGCTATCTGTCCCTTCAGGGCCCGCAGAGCCGCCGCCTGAGGCAGCCTTGCCCTCGGCCTGCATCGTGGAGTATGGGAAGGCCCTGGATATCAGCTACCTGCAGTACTTGTGGGAGGCACACACCAGCATTCTGCGCTGCATGAGGGACTGCCGGGTCTGGTCTGCGCTGTATGACGGGGACTCGCCCAGCCCAGAGACTTTTCTGCACAGTATGCCTGAGGATGATCCCGAGCATGTGGCCTGCCATGGGTCCCCACTCCCACCGCATCCAGATTCAGGGGGCTCTCAGCCAGCTCCAGCCAAGGACAAAGGCCACACTGAGCTAGAGTGGGATGACAGCTACGACACAGGCATCTCTTCAGGGGCTGACATGGGCTCCCCTGGAGCTTATGATGACCCAGACACTTCTGGCCCCCCAGTGCCCATAGATCCCCCCAAGCACATCCAGGAGATGAAGAAGAATGCCATCTTGCTCTTTAAAGGTTCCTACATTGAGGAGTCAGACTTCCAGGATGATGTCATGGTGTACCGGCTCTGTGCAGAGAAGGACACAGAAGATGCCAGAGGCTCACAGGGGGAAGCTGTAGGGCCACCAGCTGAGGCCCAGCCCGAGGCTTGGAGCTCACCTGTGAACAACGGGCCCCTCAGTCCCCAGCCAGAGATGGAGTCAGAGGGGGAACACAAGAGGGACACTGCAGACCTGTTTCAGAGCATGTCGAGGGACCCAGCGCAAGAGAATGGGCCTGAAGTGGCCCCTGGATCAGACTCAGCATTACCAGCACCTGCTTCCAAGGCCGAGCAGAGCCCAGACCTGCCAGTGATCTGCCCAGAGAGTGAGGACTTCATTGCCCAGTATGACCAGATCATCAGAGAACTGGATTCGGGCTCTGAGAGCTTGATAGATTCCAGCTTTCCCACGCCAGAGTCCTCGCTCCTCAAGGAGCAAGAAGGTGGGGGAGAAGAGAGTGGAGGAGAGGAGGAGGGAGAGGAGGAGGGAAAGGAAGACAGGGAGAAGGACATGGAGGAGGAGGACGACAACTTTGACTCCCTGATCACAGAAGCTCCCACTGTGGAGAGTGTGTGTTCCCCATTTGGGATGAGAGAGGAGACTGCCCTTGCCAGTCACCGCCCCATGAGGACTACGGGCGCTCCATTCACAGGTGACCATCTTAATTGCTTTGTGCTGTCAGGTTTCCAGGGATTGAACTCAGGCCCTTGCGCTTGCCGGGGAAGCACTTATTCCACTGAGCCATCTCCCCAGCCCTGTGCTGTCAGGTTTTGAGGGTACTTGTGCATACTGGAACAGGAATGGAAGGTAGAGAGTGTTATCTGCTTACCTAGTATAGAAGCAAAGGATGTTGGCTAAGAGCAGAGGGGGTGGTCTGATTTGTATTTTGTAATTTCTTGAAATGATCGCCTTACTCTTTTTGCAAGTTGGGTTAAGTTTTACTTGATAGGCCTGTGATTGACTAAGAAGACTGATTCACCACACGGGAATCCAGTCTTAACCTCTTATCCTTGTTCTAGCTTTTCTTCTTATCACTTACTTGGGTGGTGTGTGGTGTGTGGTGTGTGTTTTATTACTGTCTTGTGCACTGGAGGGCTGGATTCATGAAAGGAGAGAGCTGTTCATTCTGTGCCCTCCCCTGGTGTGGGGGCAGTGACAAGAGCATGCAGTAGGTGCTCGGAGCACGTGTGCAGTGGCAGTAGCTGTGTGTACACACTGGAGGACATCGTGGTAGTTGCCTGGGAGCTCTTCCATAATCACAGATTCTGCACCCCCAAATGCGACTAGAGCCACATGCTCACCACTCTTAGGCACACTTAGGTGACACACTCGCTGTGGACAGCAGGGAGAAATCATGGTAAGAGGCAAAGGTGTAGGATAGGCTATCAGAGGAGCAGATAAGGGTGAGGAAATGGGTTGAAAACATTCAGTATTAAGCAATAAAATCAGAATATGCAGATGAAGTGATCTCCACAGATGAGAAGGCCCAGTGAGCTCCAAGAGTATGGGGTGAGGCCCCCAAATGGTGAACAGTAGCAAGGAGCAGTGCTGGTGACACAGAGGGATAGAGAGTGCCTTCCAGGCAGGCCTGGGTGATGGCCTGTCTCTCCCACTCCTGAGCTGTTTGGTCCTGGTAGACCAGGCCTCTGCTGCTGAGTTGCTGTGTTGGGGGGTGTGGGTGTGACTGAAGCTGGTGAGGTCCCTGGAGCCCCAGGCCTGATGCACCCTGGCAGTGGGGAGCAGCTTTGTGCCAGGGGACTGTGCCTGCCCCCCTCCCAGCTCCCAGGCAGGAAGGAAAGCAGACTGCCCTCTGGTCCAGCCAAGTCGGCTTAATGCGATTTCAAGGGGCTCTTCTACTCTCCTCCCCCAGTATTTATTCATTTGTTTACTGATGCCTGAAGATTTATTTAAACAGGGGAAAGCTCTTAATTCCACAATTATAAGGCTTGAGGAGAAATCTAGCTGAGATAACATTTCAGTGTGAACAAGTTTTAATTAAAATTCAATCAGTCAATCATAAGTAAAAAGGATTAGACCAGCTCACGTTTCCCAGTTGATGCAGGGAAGGGGCATCTGAAGAGATGAGTCAGGAGGGCAGAAGGAAGGGGCTGCCTCCTATCCTGAAAGGGCCCCCCTGCGCTCTCCAGCCTTCTCCTGCAGGTATGTACCTGGGAGGATGAAAGGACTATCTTGGCTCATGGCTGCAGTCTGGGCAGTCTGACTGCATTGCCTTGGGCCTGTGGCAGGGCAGAAACCACAGGACAAGGAGGGCTTCAGAGAAAAGCAGGTCACCTGAGCTCAGCCAGGTACAGGGAAGAAGGGCAGGGCCCAGTGTCACCCACCAGAAGCTGCCCCATGACCTTCTCACTTCTGCTGGTCCCACCCCTTCCTTCTGTCATCTCCTGATAATGCTGCCAGGCTCATGCCCCATTTGGGTTATTCTGCAGATGAAGTGAGGGCCTTCGGGAAGTCCCTGGATTACCACTACTGTCCTGGTGACCACACCACCATTGAGAGCCTACTGGGGACTGTCTAGACCAAAGCATAGTGCCGAGGCTAAGGAGGACTGTTCCTTAGAATTCTGGCTTTCTTTCAGCAGAACAGATCCCTGGAAACTGTGGAGATCAAGGAAACAAAGTATAGCTGGGGGCTGGGGTAGCTAACACGGAACCTTGTTAAATGGCATTGGTCTTTATGCATGATACACCTGAGAACTGATAAAACAGCGTAGTTTTTTGATACATTTGTGTAATTATAATTAAAACCTTGACTTTTCCATCCTCTTTCCTTTGGAACTTGTACACAGCTTCAGGAAACATCTTTTTTCTTTTCTGTGTTTGTGAGCTTTGTAGTTTTTGGACTGCTGAGTATGTTCTATAGCATTGGGCTTAACTTCCTTCTCTCCAGGGAATACTGATAGTTTTTTGAGATGAATTCACATTCTAGGAAAATCAAAGCATTCCATTTATCTAATTCTTAAAATTTAACATATTCAGCCTTTTTTATTGGTCTTGTAATATTTAGCAGGTTCTCTGCTTAGGTGTTAAGGACACAAAATGAAAAGTCTCCTTTCAGGGGAGACACCAGAGTTGGGCCTCCAGTCCAGAGGGAGCCTGGTGGAGGGAGTGGAAAGGTGTCCAGAGGAGGGTATCTTAAATCCTCATACTACATTTAAAAAGTGTCTCTCCCATATATCTATATCTGTATCTATATCTATAATCATTTTAACTGCTATTAAAGTAGAAGGGTGGTTGGAGTCCCGACAGGACATGACGTCCCTGTGGTCTGAGGCAGAGCTGGCAGGCTGGCAGGAAGACACACATCCCAGTGGAGCTTGCTGAACTAGGCACAGAACTGATGGCCTCTGTTCTTGGGGTCGAATGTGCAAGACGGGCAGCAGGTGGACCAAAGTGGGGATAGGACGGGGACCCTGGAGTAGAGAGAATGAAGGACAGGGAAGGGTGCTGGAGACAGCCTTAGTCTCCTGAAGAATTAAATATTTTGTGGGTGATGTGTTAGCTTTCTGTTACTCTAAAAAGATACCTGAGAAAACCAATTTATAAGGCATAAAAGTTTATTTTGGCTCACAGTTTTATTTTTTTTCCATAATTTTATTGAGAAACAAATAGCAATGAGACACTTTCAAATCAAATTGGTAGGACAGTTTCAATAATTAACATGTTGCATACATTCTTCCCAGTGGTTAATTGCTGTACAAGATGCGGACATGATATCCTATTTACAAACACCATTAGAACAAATCCCTCTATTCATTAAGAGACTGTAACTATATATCCGTCCCAACCACTTTGAATACACAGACACAAAATGGACATTCATCTGTATCCCCTTTTTTTTTAAGTTCCGTATTTGAATATTATAGGTGTGTAAACTCAGCAAAATATCCTAAAAGAGTCCAGTAGCCCATAATAGTATTGGGTCTTCCGCTTGACTGGCAGTGTCAGAAATTGTTGACCTGAGTCCCCTACAGCTCAACATAACAGCATGGCTTTACTTCTTATATTTCATTTTTATACTTTTCTACTGATGGTTAAGACCAAGGTAAAGCAGGACCTATGCAACAAGAGTTGTTGGCTCACAGTTTTAGAGAATTCAGTCCATACTTGCTTAGCCTTGTTGTTTTTAGGTCTGTGGTAAGGCAGCACCTCATGATAGGAGCATCTGGTAGATGCTTATGGTATGATGGCCAGGAAGTGAAGATAGAGGAGAGACTGGGTCTTACTGTCACCTTAAGAGCACTTCTCCCAGTTACATAACCCACACCAGGCCTCACCACCTCCCAGTAGTGCCGTAGTCCAGGGACCATGCCTTCAGCATCTGGGTTTCTGTGGGGACAGTCAGGATCCAAGCTCTAGCAGATGGGAGTTTTATCTCTTTCAGGAGAAGATGAAAACAATCCATAGCGAGGTAGTTTTCTGAGTTATAGCTCAGCATTCTGGTTTTCAGATGTTTCCCAGTTGCCCTAGTAACTGCTTTTTGCTAAGCACTCTTAAAGCTAATGTACTATAAACCAAGAATGAAGTTGGATTTGAAAGGATATGTGTCTCTATGCCATGGAGCCAGCATCAATGGTGGCCGTGATGGCCTGATCTATGTGTTGTCACCCATGTGAGGCAATGTCCAGACCTTGTCTTTCTCTGAGAGTGGGCTTCAGGCTGTCTGACTGCCCTCTCTGCAGTGCCAGTGGGCCACAGGTCAGCTCCTTGATCACTGACAACCGAGAGGTGTAGTCCAGGACCAGGGAAGGGCAGTTGGCTGATCACATTGAGGACATACACTCCAAAAGGACTTTGCTCACCTGTGGATGCCTTCAGTGACTTGTTGCGGTCCATCAAGATGGAAGCAGGAGACGAGTCAGAGACTGCAGGGGAGGTGGCAAGGAGAGCAGGAGACAGCGCTCCAGACTTGAGGTGCCGGCAGCACCCTTCTCTTGCAGGTCACTTGGAAACCAGAACTGTGCTGGTGCATTAAGAATAGCAGCATGGGAATTTCTGAGGTTCGCAGGAAAATTGTTAGCTGCTTTCAAACTAGGGCTCCTTCCAGTCTAGTTTCTCATTGTGTGCCAGTCCGAGTTTTGTTTCACAAGCTCCTACAGGCTCACTGACCGCTCTGCTGTGGAAAGGGACTGGAGCGGTGCACCTCTGCGCACACCGGGGCCAGCTGTGCTGCCTCTGGAATTGAGATCCCTCAGGGACACCCTCAGTATCTCTGGACAGGAATGTTGCAGTTGCCTGTTCGTCATCCTCATGGGCAAAGTTTTGGGTTTCCGTTTCTCAGGGACTGTGCCTCCCAGCAACAGGCTTTACCAGGGCTTCTGAGTGGAGTATCTTGAGTTTTTGTTAAACTCCCATTAATTGTTGTAAATATGTCCTGGTTTAGTGGCCTCATCAAGAGTTCCACTGGGGGAAGTACAAAATTCTCATTGATTTTGCTTAATGGAAGATTTTTATGGCAAAAATTTAAAACATCTTTTAGTAGTTTTATTAATGCCAGACCTTTTTTTTATTTTCTCTGCCTTTAGTGAACTAGAACATAAAGCACATTAATTTTCTAGTGACCTGAAGTAGCTCTTTTGTGCCTAGTATTTTTACAAACAACTTTTGCAGTCACACATGCATGAGTTTCTTTCTCATGAACTCCATGACACACCAGACTGCATCACCCAAGGCTGAGTTCCTTCTTTCTTTCTCATCTGAGCATTTGAAGTGTGACCACTGCGTGTGAGTGGTCAGGGTTGCCAGTGTACAGTGCAGAGCCTCACTTCAACCTGTGTCTGTCTCTCCACGTCTGGACAGGCAGTCTCTTGAGGGCCTGTTCTTGGTTCACATGTTGCTGTTCAGTAAACATGTTTGGTGTTACCACGACTTTTAATGGGCTGTGATGGTTGTGCAGAACCTTTCGAAGAACATGGCATGTTGAGATGGTACGTCATGTTGGAGCCTTATGATTACAAGAAAGGAAAGCATATAAATGTTTGATTCTTCTCTGGGTCCATGATAAGTTCCAGAGTACTAAAACTGCTCATAGAGTCCAAGTCTTAGTTCCCCTGAATGCTGTCCTTCTTTTCATGGTTGTGTTTTGTCTTCAGCCTGGGTGTCCAGCTTCCAGATGAGTGTGTGCCCACCTGGGTTTGTGCCTTGTGGCTTAGAGTGGCTGGGATGTGGCTCTGGTGATTCTTTGGTTGCTGAGGAGACACCCCCACCCAGCCAGCCAGCCAGCCAGCCTGAAGCCCTGTGTTCCTCCCACAGGCCCGTTCATCAGCGTGGTCCTGTCCAAGCTGGAGAACATGCTAGAGAACTCGCTGCATGTGAACCTGCTGCTCATCGGGATCATTACACAGCTGGCCAGCTACCCCCAGCCCCTGCTGCGCTCCTTTCTGCTCAATACCAACATGGTCTTCCAGCCCAGTGTGCGCTCCCTCTACCAGGTATGGCCTGGAGCTCATGCCCATGCCCACGCTCATGCCCAGCTCCACAGCTGGCGATGTTCCATGTGCTGGTCTGCAGGGCTCCTCTTCTTCCTCTCATGGTTTGGTTGTCTTACAGCAGCCCCACTTGTCCTGATTTGCTTATCTTTACTGTTTATGATACTAACTCTGTAGATTATTCTAGATAAATTGCAAAGCTTCATTTAGTTTGATGTTTTGCGGGTGCCCTACCAGGAACACCCAGGCAGTTAAAAATGAGCAAATGCCTAATATCATAATAGTTCCCGTAATGAGGGCTGTACCTGAAAGATATATGGATAACCAAGAGTGGAATTCCACTGTGGGGCATTTAACATCTTTACTGTTGCTCTTGACAGGTCCTTGCATCTGTAAAAAACAAGATCGAGCAGTTTGCCTCTGTGGAGAGAGACTTCCCGGGCCTGCTCATCCAGGCGCAGCAGTACCTGCTTTTCCGGGTGGACACGTCTGACGTGAGCCCTGCAGCCCTAACCAAAGGTCGACCTCTCTCTACTCTCTCCTTGAACTTCTAGATCCCCATGACTGGTTTGCATTTGCTGATTCTGCCTCATGCCTGGGCCCTGGAAATGGCTTAAGAAACTTTTATTACCCAACAGGAAGGAGCTCCTCATAGTGTTATTAAATCTCCAGGACAGCCTGCCTGGCCCACAGCTATCCCACGTCCCCTTTGGATAATCTGGCGGGGGGCATTTGTTTTCTTGAGTGCAGTTAGGGGAGGAGGTGATGTGTGGGGTGTCACTGGGCCACGGTAAATAACACAGCATCTTTGTGCCATCCATGACATTATGAGCACTCCCTGAGCCATTCTGTGGCCAGCTCTGTCCTAAGGACAGCATCTGCTCTCTCTATTATGTCTTCAAAGGTTCTGAGGCTGAGATACATGTGTATCAGGACTGTGGGCGGTGAAAGCTGTCCCTTTGGGTGAGAAGCTCCTCTTAGTGTTGTTAAATCTCCAGGACAGCCTGCCTGGCCCACAGCTGGCCCACGTCCCCATTGGAGGAGGGTCTAGCGGGGCTTTTTTTTTTTTTTCTTGAATAGTAAAGTGCATGTGCAGCCCTCACCCTGGCTGAAGGAGACACCAGGCCTAGAGGACACTTGCAGCTGGGTTGTGGCTGGCTGGCAGAGTAAGGGCGGCCACAAGTGTGGCCTGCGCAGTGCTGCTGCTGGCCTCCTTCTGACTCTGGCTGGGCAGAGCTGGTGGCTGCTGTCTTCTGGTTGTACTTGGGTCTGAATGAGCACAAAGAGGCCCACCAGGTTCAGGAATGGAGCAGAAGGTGCACCTGGCAATGGGAAGCGGTGCAGAGGACTGTGGCGAGATGTCGGTGGCCTCTGGCTCTGCATACTGTGTTCTTACCCTGGGCTTGGTCTTTCTGACATTTTATAGTTCATGAGGCACTTTCCCAGGCAGTCGGTTTTCACTACCAGACAGCACTGAGTATGCAATGGGCAGGAAAGGCCCTGAGCTCCATTTTCATTAGGGAAGCCAGAGTCCTGAGGCTCTAGTGCCTGGGAGCTTGGTGAGACTACACTGAAGCAGAGCCAGCGGGTTGTGGGGCCAGAGATGGCACCACTCCCCTGGGGCTCTGCCCTGGCTCCAGGTGTTCCCACGGCCTGGTATAAGGTGCGTGCTTCAGGGAGCGTGTTCTCACTGCGTGGTGTCAAGTTAGTCACCAAGATTGACACTTTTCTGTTTTTTGTTTTTGGTGGTAATAGGGATTGAACTTGGAGCCTTCATGCTGAGCTATATAGCTCAAGCCCTTGAGGCAGGGCCTCATTAAGTTATTAAATTGCCAAGGCTGGGCTCAATTTGTGACCCTCCTGCCTCAGCCTCCCAGAGTGCTGGGATCACAGGTGTGCACCACCATGCCTGGCAGTGTTGATGCTTCTTACGGTCTTCAGCACTCAGGGGTTTTTGTCTTCTAGGTGGCTTTTCTTGGGAAAGAAGGCACTCCTTTCAATTGAGGTTTTGAGATGAAGTTCCTAGCTTCTTTCAGGTTACCAAAGTGACACCTTCCCTCACACCCTTCAGTTCTGTACACTCAGAGTGAGACACTCTGAAGTGTGTCCTGTGAAGTGACTGCCTGTGTTGAGCTGAGCTGGCTAGTCCTTGTGTTGCTGGCATGCTGAGTGACTTGGAATCATGGCAGAGGTCACATAGTGACATAGTGTCCCTGCATGCTGTGTCCTTCCCTGGTTCTGTTGCCAGGAGAGAGCAGCTGATTTCTGAATCACCCCAGCATTTAATCCTGAACGCCTTCTGTCACAGCACTCAAGGAGTTACTTCCTTTCCTCCATGCCTTTCCTTTTGGTGCCCTGCATGTGTGCATGTGCGTGTATGTGTGTGTGTGTTGGGCTCTTGCATGAGAGGTGCAGCCAGAGCTGCTCCCTTTTGTCCCCCTGGAGTTTCTGTACTGGTGTCCCTTGGGGCTGGGAGCAGACTAGAGCTCAGACAGGCAGCTTCTAGTTGCCAGTGGCCGTTGCCCTGGGACCATTATGCAGGACAGCTGGTGGTGACTAGAAAGCTCAAGGCTGCTGGTGGCCATGAAAGGCGACTCTTGTCCTCAGGCTGGTGCTGTTCTGCTTCATTAGTTAGGACTGGGCTCTGGGAACCAGGCTGGGTGGGCCAGCCTAGCAGTGACATGCGTCAACCTAGCTAAGCGAGCATAGGAAAGTGAGGTGGGGCTGGCTGCTCTGAAGAGGGTCTCCTTGTAGGAGCACCCATATGGGCGCTCCTTCCTGCAGCAGCTGTTCACATGGAGGGACTGCCTGTGATAAGGCTCTTGATGTCAAAAGAGTGTATGCGTGCAGCAGAGGAGACAAAACATACTCTGCAGCACGGTCTGAAGAGCAGGGCCGACCTGGAGAGCCAGGGCAGAGGAGGACTTCCGGTGGATCTGGGATGCTGGGCAGGGGCTGCTGAGCTGGTAACCCGTGGTGGCCATGCTTCCCTTCCCTGGTACCTGATACTTGTTGCTTCATTTAATCCTGTGGCAGCTCCCTGGGCTTTGAAAGGAGAGGAAATGAAACTGGCCGGAAGTAACTGAGCCAGCAAGTGGCAGAGTCTGTGCTCAACCACTCTGCTCGGCCCTCTGAAGCTGGGTAAATCGATCCAGAGGAAGGGAATGGGTGAGCAGATCCAGGGAGAGCCAGCACGGGCAGGAAGGATTCAGTTCGGTGTCCAAGCCTCTGAAGAGTGACAGTTGCCATGGGCCAGGGCTGGGGGTGGTAAGTGATGGTCTCCAGGCTGTTGCTAGGCCTCAGCAGCCTTGTGATCTGTCCTCACTGCTGTCAGGGAACAATGGGAGCTCCTGCCAAAGGCTGTGGAGACAGATTCTCAACAGCTCTTCCACTTCTTCACGGCATGGACGGTGGGAAGCTTTAATCTAAAATGCTATTTAAAACAGTAAAGTGGAAGTTTTTTTTTTTTTTTAACACTAAAGACTATAGTAGTGAGATGAAAGTACTATAAATGTCAAGAATTTTTAGTAGTGTAGTTAGAAACACTTTGAGAAAAGTGTTGAAAAATGGAGCTGAATTCTAAAAAGCAGCCAAAGTAATGAAGAGCTTGAATATAATGATTTAGAAGGAGCAATGAGAGTGTTTCATAGGGGACAGAAAAAGGCATAAATAATTCTGCCAAATGTATGAGGGCTGGAGATGTTCAAGAATTAAATAGAGAAGTCAAACCATTTTAATTAGTAAAATTGATTTGGTATGAAAATGCAAATCATTTGAATATGTTAATGTTTGGGCTCCTATCATCTTAGACCTTAGATCAAAACAGAGATGGAAATTCCTAGAAGCCTTTCTTAAGTGTTGGCTTCCATTTATTGCCACTAGGTCCCAGTGGCTGCAGGAAGTTTTCAGTCTGGTCTTTTCAGTACTCCCATGTCCCCACCACTGTTCTGGTGATGAATTCTTCACTGTCCTTTGGTGTGGAGACTGAAGATCTATGACCGGTCATCAGGTGGCCCTCAGGGTCAGGGGGGCAGCTGCAGCATGCTCAGACCTTGGGGTGGACTGCACCATGTGACTTGGGCTGGTGACATAGTCAGGGTCAGTCTGGAGAGTAGGCAGGCCTCCCAGTGTCCCTAAGTAAACATCTGGTGAGCCAAGTCTTCACCCTTGTAATGCGAGTGGCAGGAGATGCCTTTTGCATTTCTGTCCTAGTCCCGCAATCTGCATAGAAGTCTCTGTGTCTTTGTCTTGTCTGTGAGTATGACTGCGTTATCCAGCCTGGGCTCCAGTGACTGCTCCCTTCTGGGTGTGCTTGGTAGCTGGACCCAGAGGTGCACAGCACGTCCAGCCAACAGGCTTCTTGATGAGCCCGTGTCCTTGCTGTGATGCCCGCACCAGGATTCTCAGGTCCTGGCTAAGTCTCACATCCCAGGCTGATACTGGTATCTGCTGGGTAGAGATGGGAGTCACAGGGTGCTTTAGGGCTGTGTCTTCATGATTGTCAGTCAGAGGAACCACCGCGCCAGTGACATCTACACCAGCTCCTCCCATGCCAGACAGTGCACTTGGGAGGTGGCAGAGGGTCATGAAGGGCCCCCATGACAGTGTTCTTTCTGGTTTCAGATCCCACGTCAGAAGCTTCCAAGACCGAAAGTGGCAGGAACATTCTGGATGGTCCCCCACGAGTGCTTCAGCCCTTCCTGACCAGCAGAGCCAAGGTGGCCGTGCCCCCCCCCAGCCTGCCCCTGCCAGTGAGGAACACCATGTTGGCTGCGGCTCTCTTTCCCGAATTCCTGAAGGAGCTGGCTGCCCTGGCACAAGAACACTCCATCCTGTGCTACAAGGTCCTGGGGGACTTTGAGGACTCCTGCTGTTAGCATTTTCAAAAATGTCTTTACACAGACACACATTGTAGTATCTTGACTGAATGTTAAGTGCAAAGCTGCTTGTCAGATTCTATTTTGATGTTTCCTGGCAATACTTGATTTGTGGGGGCAGATTTCTGTGGCCCTCCTTTCTGCAGCCGGGTCTTCTGCCCGTGCACTATTTAGAATGTAAGCCGCCTGGGCAGACTGCTTCCCTGGCAGGCTGTCTCTGCTCACTTCTCCATGTCCCACATTTGCTTGTTGTCTTCCCGTCCCTTTGGCTACTCTGCCTGCTGCTCAGATCTCTTGGAGCACATTCTGGGCTGCACCGCTTCCTGGACGGGCCCTGGGGCCGAAGGCCAGCTCTGGGCAGCACGGGAAAGCTTGCTGCGTCTGCACAGTGCTCAGCTGCCCTCTGCATTTCGGCTTTCAGTTTATAAAAGGAAGAGCTGAGTGGCGCTGTTCTTACCTCCATCACAAAAGCACAGGTCCATGCCCCCCTGAACCTACCTTCGGGGACTCCGTTCTCTCCACACACATTGCCTTATGGTACAAGAAAGGCCCCGGCCGGTCTCTGCCTCAGTGTCACATGGAATTGGAGAGAACTAGGAGCGCAGGGAATTATTTCTTGTTGCTTGAGAGTGTTTTTTAATCCGTGCAACACTACCTAAACACTGAAGATAGCCTTATTTTAGTAAGATTTGCACAAATCAAAGCGTGCCTATGCAAACTGCTACTCTTTAAGAGTTTGATCAGATGAAGAAAGTGTGGTGTTGTGTACTTATGTAAGAAGACAGCCATCATTAGTTTTAAAAGTGTTTTACCTTCTGACATGCTTCCATAGTGGGCTTTTCAGGGGAGAGGCTGGAGTAGGGGCAAAGGGGAAGGGCAGCTAAATGCACCCTGTAAAAACTCGAGTCATTATTTGGGTTTTTGTTTTTTGTTAACATGTTGCACTTTATAGAGAAACAGGCGCCTGGACGGCCCACTTTGGGAGCTGGGCACAAATGCATCCAGGTTCTTGGAGTCCTGCCAAGCCAAGTGCCGGCTGGCAGCCGCTGCACACACACATGCTGCTTTCTAAGGACTGCTTCGTGGAAGCCCCACTGAGGGCTGGCAATGCTTCTCGCTATTTTTCAGCATGCTCTGAGAGGCCAGAGTGTACCTAGAGCTGGGGCCACCTGAAGCTGCCACCACAGGGGGTGCAGCCATGTGGCTTAGGCATGAGACTGCACAACTGGTATTTATGGGCATTACATCCCACTCTTTGGCTCGGGGCCCAGGTCTGGGGAGAGGCGAGGAACCAGGATGAGCCTGTGTTTGGAGGGAGTGTGGAGGGTGTCTGCCAGGCTGAGGGCAGCAACAGGCCGGCTGGTTGTGCTCAGGGCTCTCATTTGTCTCACCCAGTCTCCTGGTACAGGAGAGGAAAGGGAAACATCACAGCCGAGGCACGGCCCTGCCCAGGCGGTGCTTGGCGCTTCAGGATCTGAATCTTGCAGTGGCAGAGTCCCGAGAGATGGCAAGCCCGCCTGGCCCAGGCGTGCTGCACACGTGAGCAGAAAGCCAAGACACCTGTTCTGGTGCACTTCTGATTCACATTTGTTGGTCATGGAAAAGGGTTTGTTCAGCGTGGTGCCATAGCTGATCAGCTGAGGCACAGCTCTGCGGTCTGCTCGTGGCCTCCGCATGCCTTGTGTCTGCAGAGCCCACGGAGCTCCAGGGTAGCTTCCAGTAGAAAAAGGAACAGTTACACTGTCAGACACTATGCTCACGCTGGCTTTGCATAAGGACGTGTCTGGTTGGACCTGCCAGCTAACCTCGTGCTGGAGCCCTGTCTGTGGGTGGTGGTCTGCAGCTGTGTTATCAGGTGGTGCCGATGAGTCTGTGAGTCTGTTTATTTTAGAGCTCCAGGTGCCTGAGGAGGAGGTACCCATTAGGACAGGGCTTGACTTGTGCCACCAATTTTTTTTTTTTTTTTTCAGTACTGAAGTCGAGGTGCTTTAGAAGGGGGACATGCCTGGAGCGGGGAGAGGTAGGACCACTTGACTCCTGTGGTGGGTGCTGGTGCTCAGCTCCCCCGACAGTGCTCGTCTCACTGCTGGAGCTGGCAGTTAGGCCACGTTTCTGCAGCCGTCACAGTGCTCCCACAGGGTGCTGTGCTCAGGGCCTCACAAAGTGAAGTCAGAACACTGACCTGGAATAGACTACAGGGTATCAGAAAGCCTGCGCCTTTGGGCCCACTGGCCCTGAATGGTTCACTTGGGGAAAACAGCAGAGATCAGAGCTATAAATAGGACAGGAAGAGACTCCACAGGATTTGGAGGACGGACACTGTCCAAGAAGATGCCAGACAGGCAGGTGATGATGGGGGGGAGGGGGCTGGGGCAGAGCCTTAAGGGACAAGATCAGCTAATGAAGAAGGTTCCAGTTGTCAAGTTAATAGGCAAGGCCCTTGGAGGTGTCTTTTCTGTTTTTGTAATAAGTTTTGAGAAGAAATCTTAAAGGCCCTTGACATGCCTAAGAGCATGGTCCAGAAGCGTGGCTCCTGCCCCTGGGGAGCAGCCTCCACAGCTGCCCTGCTCCTCACCAGAGCAGACCCTGTGATGCAGCCCTGGCTGGTGCCCCTGTGTCCTGGGAGGGAAGGTGAGTCAAGGGTTCCTGGAATGTCACAGCATTACTTCATAATTCAAGGTCTGATTTAGCAGTCCAGAAGGAGTGAATTTTCTGGTTCAAAATAAGAGCACTGGCATATTTAAAATTGGTATTCTGAATGTTCAGGCAAATGTTTACAAAAATGTAGACAGAAATCCTACCAAGGGTCCATTCTAAAACAATTTCATGGGGTTAGACTTTCCCACCTGTTGGTTGGAAATGCGGGGATGTGATTTTCTTGTATCAGTAAAGACTTCCTTTCCCTGGTAATATTTAGGAGCACTGTAAAATCGTGCCTGTTTGATTGCACATTATTCTAGAAACCCCTTTGACATGCTCAGGGTGGACTTGAGGCCTCCCCTGTGTTGGGATACAGTTGGCACTTCTCCAGGCCCTCAAAGGCCCCTTCTTCAGCAGGGAGTTTGCCGGGGGCCTGGTGTGGTTGTTGGCTTTAAGTGCATTAAGACAGCGTGGGACCAGGGGGTTGGCAGGAAAGCATCCTCTTATGCTCACAACCGAAAGCTACACGTGCACGTATTGAGGTCCTGAGTCAGGCAGCCAGCATGTACAATTGGAAGTTTTCATTGTCTGCAGTGTCACGTGTCCTGACTGCCAGATTTGTGCATCAGTGTCCCAGTCTCCTTCAGCTAGTGGAAAGCACACGTGATGTCACATTCTTCCCTGGGCTCCAGCTCTTGTGTAAGGGGACTTCACTGTGACTGCTAATTATTAGTTCAGTGTTTACAGAAGTGTCTGTCCTGCTTGCCACGTTTATGAAACAGTTTACTGTGGGACAGCTGTGCATTTGCTGCTCATGTCCCTGGCAGGTCAGTGCAAGGGACAGGCTGCTTGTAGCCCTGGCCACATGGCAGTCTTAGCTTCTCTGGTGGCTGAGCCACATCAGCTGCACGGCATCCCCAGAGCCACCCTAACGCCTTGTTGCTTCAGCCTCCAGCCTGTGACTGACAGGGCATTCATTCCCTACTGGACAACAGCGTTAGGGAACAAAGCTACGCATATATAGCCACGCCAGTGGCCTCAGGACAAGAGGATGGAGTTGATGTTTTTCCTGTTTTTTAATGACCATTGTAAACCTAATGCTTCACAAAAAGCTCTTGAAGTCTAAGAACGACCTTTGGGATGCTTTTTCTTCAGTAAATCCTATTTGCACTGGCATTCACCAGGTGGTGAGCTTGGGAGGACAGATTATCCCGGTGGCTCTTGGACAGTGCAAAAAGGTTTCCCAAGAGGTTTACAGCAGGTCTTCAGCTGGGAGGGGAACCTTCTGTTTAGGTCTCTTGACTCTCAGAATCCCCAGTTTGACTACTGGCAGTAATCTGCCCTGTCCTATTGGGTCAGTGTGAAAGATGCTCCTGCTTACTGGACAAGGGGGACCTGTGGCCCTATCAGGTGCAGTGAGGCTGCGGGGCTGTGCAGTGAGTACAGGCAGCCTTTGGGGAGCTGCATTCACATCATTTCAGAACAGGTAGCAGTACTGAAGCTCACCGAGCCTGGGTGACCGCTAACTGGGACAAGCATACAAAGCCCCTGTAACTGAGTACCTCTTGCCCTGACATTTGATGGGATAGGATCTAATGCTGAAGACCTTGGTCTTTGCTCATCCACTTGACAAGGTGCTCCCATGTGTTCATTTGTCTAAAACCTGCTCCACCCCTAGGCTACTTCTGGGAAGGGTTTAGTGCCCTGCCTACCTTCCAGGCACTGTCTGGAGTCCCTGAGATGTGGCAGCTAAACTCAAAGTCAGTAGAAATTGTGGGTCTCAGTCACATGTTGTATACCAAATTAACCATGAGCAGAGGGAGGTGTGCACTAAACATTTCACGCTCTTCCTGCAGACTAGTAGTACCTTCTGGGAAACAAGGGAGAGATCTCAGCCAAAGCTCTTCTTGGTGCAGTTAAGTGTCACCATCTGTACCTGGAGGCACAGATCTTCCCTCTGCTGCCTAAGCCTGACAGATACAAAAAGCTGTCTTGACCCAGGGACACAAAATTTAAAATCCTAGAAGTCAGCATCCTCTCCTGCAAAGGGACCCCCTCAAAAGACTATTAATTTATTTTGTGACTCAGACAAGCTTTTGCTGGCCTCTCCCTCTGCGTAGGCAGCCTGAAGGGCTGTGGCTGATAGCCACCTCCTTAAGCAACAACGCAATTTGGCTGAGGTTTGGCTTGACCAGGCAGAGCTGGTCCACAGGAGGGTTTTCCAGCAGCCCGCCCCATTGGTGTCTCGGTATTGTACTTTATCTACCACTGTGATTGTGCATGGCGGTGTGTGTCCAGGTGTATGACTGTGACATGGCAGTGGCTTCAGTGTGGCACCAACTCGTACATCTTAATGAGATTTCCCCTAAATTGCACAAACAGAAGCAACTACATTTGTGTTCATGCAGTGTTTACCAAGGTGTATGTAGCAGAGCTGTACTTGCTGAATGTCTTTGGGGTTATATAAATGTCTTCTATCTCATCAGGTTCCAGCACTGTGCTATGAAGTTTTTCCTTAGAGCAGTGATATCGACAGTCTGGTTTTCAGGATTTCACAAGTGACCCAGAAGAGGCAAGACCCAGACAGGAAGCGGCCTCACAGGCCCGTGCTTGCAGCGCAGCACTGTTCTGTAGGACCTGGTGTAGTGGGAACCTGCCTTGGTCTGACTGCACCGCTGCTTAACCTAGGTTTGAAATGGTCTGGAAGGATCCTTCAGTGCTTTCTAGAAACTTTCAGTGAAAAGCATTTATGAAAGAAAGCCCAACTTTATTTTTTCTTATAATAAGGTCTCGCCAGATTTCCGTCTGGGCCACCTGTGCTCATTTTGTAACAGAACTGTTGGGGGAGGGAGGGCTCCACCCTCTTCACCTCTTGTAGCGAGTTTGAGTTCAGTTCAGTGCACTTGACTTTTGGAGCCAGTACCTTTCACTGTAACAAAATGTGGGTTACATGAACTGCTGGGTTTTTGAACAAATTGTTTTTTAAAAAAAGCTTGCCCAAAATGAACTACACAACTAGGTTTTTCTCCTGCATTTGTGGCTGGGCAAACCTAACTCGGGGAAGCCCAGAGCGCTGTGGCGGGACATCAGCCGCTGGCTTGGTGACGGTGGGCAGGTGTCCTTTTTACTTGGGTCATCATTCCCCACAGAAATGCTTTTTCCTGTTCTTGGTAGGCCATGAGTGACTTTTAAAACTCAGCCTGGGAGGCCATGTTCCCTGTATCAGTTTCTGGTACTTTTCGAAACAGCTTCTTCCACTGTGTGCGCAGCACTGAGGGAGCTGGATCACAAGTGCAAGCCCCCAAGACAGCTTGGAGACCCTGCCTCAAAATTTAGAAAGAACTGGGCATTTGATCCCTACTACTGGGTGTGGCTGAAGGGGATACAGCCCAGTATTTGCAAAATTGCTCTTTAACCCACGTATGCCAAAAGTTGCAATTTTTTTCAATTTTTGAACAAAATTCATTTGTTACCTAAAAAAAAAAAAAAAATCAAGAAACAGGAACTTGAACAGAAAAATTTTATGTCCTATTTTTATGTGCTATTCCAAAAATGGAAGATGAGACATAAAAAGATTAAAGGAAGCATTATGTGAGGTGCTAGATATGCAATGAGCAAAAGGGCCTGTAGTCAAGAAAGTGTTACTGTCACACAGAAAGGGGCAGAGCAGCAAGGCCTTTGTCACCGTGCTGCCCACTGCCCCTCAGTTACTGGTAAGGTCAAGAGTTTGATTTATTCATTTCTAATCTTATTCTTTCCAAGCAAAACAAATTTACGTTATAGCCTTCTCTTCATCTTTTTTGCCCTGATGGTGTGGGGGGTGTCAATCTTACAAAGTCTTTGAAGTGTAAGTTAATTTTTACGTGCTATCTCAGTATGTACTTTATTCATTAAATTCATTTGAAAACAGTTCTGCTGTCCTCAGAAGATTCACTGCATCTCTGAGCTATGCGTTCAGGAGCCCCAGGAAGCTGACGGGCGGCGTTGCTTCTGCCCAGCAGATGTGAGTCAAGCTTTACCTGGCGCGCTAGGCAAATGCGTTTTCAGGGCACTGTCTACGCGAGCCTGTTTTCGGGCCTGAGTGCACTGCAGCCTCACTCGGGTCTTTCGGCATGCGATCCCCAGCACTGGGGCCAATGCCAGGCTTATAAGTATCTGTGGAAGGAGCTGACAGCGAAGGGTCTGGAGAATGGTTGCAGGATTTGAAGCCTGTTTTATTCAGTGGTGAAAAAGCCCTCTCCGCCCCCCCAGCGTGCTCTTGCTAACTGCTGCGGTGGTCCAGAGGAGTACAATGTCACCACAGCGCTGCACCAGGACTCAGAGGACCCGAACATGGCTAGTGCAACTCACAAGCGACGGAAGCCTGAAGAGCACACAGACATCAGGATTCGTGGGGCCCTGTCCTTCCCTGGACAGAGGACGCCAGACACCTCATGACGACAGCCTCTCTAGTATATCCTTTATCTCAGCTGGGTCTGCTCGGTTTAGGGTTGCCTTCCGTACCAACCCGATCAGTTTGTTTATAGCTCTGGGGTTTCCACTTTTCATATCTGTTACCTATAAAGAGAAGAAAGATAGCCTTGTAACTAAAAATCCTCAATTAAGGTTTAATGTTAATACAAATTAAATCAGTCTGTATTGCCTCAATATTAGATACCAAAATGAAGGAGAAAAGAGGGATTAGCTAGGGAACAGGCTTCCAGGCTCCCAGCTGATCCCAGCTCTGCCTTCTAATCAATTTGAGCACAAAGATGACCAGGGTGGATCTTGGTGATGTCAGCTTTCAGAGAAGCTGGCGTGTGGGCACCAGGACACTCCTCTAAGGTGCCACATGACAAGGACTGTGGGGTCTGCACATGGGGTGCCTCCGTGCCCCTCCTCCCTGCCAGGAAGATGCAATCTAAGAAAACATTCCCCAAAGTGACAACCCTGGGACAGCGTTTGTGTGCGCGAGCAGGTAGGGTGGGGGACAAAGGCAGGAGTGCTGCACTCCTCGCCACTGGGGCCACCGCAAGGACCTCCTGCCCAGCTCAGGCCAGGAGTGCTCCGTGTCTGTGCTCAGAGCAGGGACTGGCCTGAAGCCAAGAGTCCTTGTCAGTGGCTGCAGATGAGCAGAGATGGAGACTGCAAGCTTCCGGGCTCATTTTCCTCATCAAGATTGCTGCTAAGAACTCTTAGTGTCCCTGTGCACTGATGAGTGCGCTGCGTTATTCTGAAAGAGATGCTAGCAAATCACACTCCCCCTCCCCCAGAGTATCTCTCTGGACAGTATGATTAGACTTGGGAGGGAGGCTGCCACTCTGAATCTTCTGTCCTGCTCTCCACTAGGAGCAAGAGGACTTGGGCTCCCACTATGCTGTCAAAGGATTTTCCCCTTCATTTACAAATAACTTCCTTTTCCACCTTTCTTCCCACCCTGTCTCTTCCCCCTTGCCTCCAGGTGGCCTATCCCTGCAAAGTCCCTGAGAAGTGGGGCCGGCCACATGGAAATGCTGACCCGGGAGGAGGCTGACACTCTGGGAGTGGAACCCTGCATGTGCTCAGTTTGACAATCAGCCTTCAGCTACCTCCACAGAGTCGGTGCCAGGGTGGAATTTTCCCATAGGGAAGAGGTGGTGTTTTTCCAATATCCACCTCATTTCATCTCTTTTGACCTTAACTACAGAGCTGACACAGATAATTAGGCAATTATTGATGAAACTGGGCCAGCCCTTAGAAGAGCCCCTGCCTGCAACGGGGGGCCTCCAGGGGCGTCTGGCTGCAGCCCTGTGCTCACCAAGGGTGCCCGCCCTCCTGCTGCGTGTGACAGCCCACCCCAGCCTGCCACAGTCACCACTTGAGGGTGCCCCTCCATCGTGGACTGGCAGAGCTGCTCCAGGGCCTCGCGGTCCTGCATCAGTTCCAGCTGCTTCTCGGAAACAACCTGCGCTGCACTCTTTGCCTCACCCTTCCACAGTTCCTCGAACACCTGCAGCCAGAGGAGACAGGAAAGAGGTGAGGAGTCGGCTCTTCCCCACCTCCATGCACTGCAGCAGTGATGCAAGCGCGAGGGCAGGAAGCATGGATGCACACAACACTCAGCCACGGGGCACAGGTGCACCAACAGCGCTGGCGGCACTGCCACTCCTGGTGGAACTGAGCCAACCCAAGTCTCTTCCTGAGGTGGGATTTCTCCCACCAGCAAAGGTCCAGAGGCAGCCTCAGAACTGACACCAGCAAGGTGGCGGGTTCTTCCCTCTTGCCAACTCCATCTGCGCGGCTCCACCCCACACAGGGCTGAGGTAAGAGCAGGACTGCTCACAGGACTCCTGCTGCCACCAGTCAGAAAGTGGTTATGGCTGTGTCCACTGAGCTAATGAATGGAAATGCGGGTAATAACCACCAATCCCAAGACTGATCACACTGATGTGGGGAAAGGAAAACCCCTCTAGGGAAGGTGTTTCCCAGGGTGCTGGTTTTCCCCATCCCTCGTTTTTCTAATGTGAGCTGGGAGTGCAGGCTGTGCAGGGCTCCTCGGTGGCCACCCCACCCTGGCCCATGGTGTACACTGCATACCAAAATCTCTGTGACCACACTGGCTTGGGTTAGGCTGGTGGGAGCCACCACACCTGAACAAAGAGCTATGAGGTAACTGGCCCTCACCGGGTCAACAGAGGGACAGATGCTCTGGGCCTCTGCAGGGCTTAAGTTCTTCCCAGTCTAGTCAAACCACAGATACTTATCACACCTGAAAGACTGTGTGCCTCAGATGGTGCCACAATGTGGCAAAGCAGGGTCTGTACCCTGGGTCCCTCCGTAAGCTCCTCATGTGGTGCCTCTGTGGCCACCACCACCGAAGCCTGGATGCTCAGATCTCTTCTCAAGATACTCGGCCTGACCAGAATGAGGGCATGAAAGGGCACTGGCCAGAGCAATTAGAGGAAAGAAAGATGAATACAGGTAGGAAAGGAAGAAGTGAAATTTGTTTACTGATGAACTGATCCTCTACACAGAAAGCCCCCAAAACTTCATGGAATGACTCCTACAACTAATAACCAAACTCAGTAATATAGTTGGACACAAATTCAGTGCTCAGAAATCAACAACTTTCTTGCATAACAGGAACAAACTCACCGAGAGAAATTAGGAAAACAATACCCTTTATAATGGCCTGAAGAAAAATGAAATACTTAGGAAACAACCTTATTAAGGAAGTGAAAGACCTCTGGAGTGAAAACTACAGTAGTCTGAAAAAGGAGATCAAAGAGGATATCAGAAAATGGATATCATTCCTGGACAGGTAGAACCAATATAGTCAAAATGGCCACACTTTCAAAAAGGTTCTTCAGGTTTAATGAAATCCTAATGAAAACACCAACAGCATTTTTGTCACAAATTTACAGAAAGCCTATAACATTTGTATGGAATCAGAAGAGACCCAGAATAGCAAAATGGACAAAGGCAAAATAGGCATCATTATCCTGGACGTCAAGTTATACTATAAAGCTACAGTGATAAAAATAGCATGGTATTAGGAAAAAAGACTTGTGGATATTTGGTACAGAATAGACAACAGAAACAACTCTAGGCATACTCAATTACATTTTCTTTGACAAAGGACCTACATACCTTGAGGAGAGATAGCCTGTTACCAAATTGTGCTGGGAAAACTGGTTATTCACATCCTGAAGACTGCACTAAACTACATACAAAATGAATCAAAGAAAAAATAAAACAGATGTTTAATCTGCTGGAAGATAGAATAGGTAGAATTCATGAAGATGTAAGTGTAGGTGAAGACTTTTTGAACAAAATCCCAGTTACATAAGAAATACTACAAAGAATTAACATAGGATCATATCTAACTAAAAAGCTTCTGAACAGCAAAGGAGACACCAACAGTGTCAAGAAAAACCTACAAAATGGGGGAAAAATTTTGCCAGCTACTCTTCACAGGACTGATATCTAGAATATATAAAGGACTAAAAAACAATTAGACCTATGAAACTTCTGAGGGTAAAACTGTATATTATAGTCTATAACTTTCAGATTATTTTTGATTTTGTTATATAACTATGAAATCTTGCAGCTATGGTTAAAGGTGGCACATTATTAGTTATCACAGTCTGTCATTCTCTAGACTGTGCTCCGTACTGCTGTTATTACTGATTGGACTACTTTGGCGAAGCGAACGTAGTTGTTCTTCCTTGTGCCAATATGATGGCTGTCTGGAGATTGTAAATAATACGACGGCTCAGTACCTCAGAACTGGGTGTACGGCCAAACAGGCAGCCTTCTCATCCCTCACAGGTCGAAGAGGCAGGGTCTTGGGGCAGACTCAAAAGCCGAAAGCCAGCTACACCTAAGATACCTCTGGAAAGTAGTCATTTCCTCAGGAGGTCCCCATATACCATAAACAATTTACAAGTATCAATGCAGAAAACAAATTTTAGAAAATAAGATATGGAAACACGACCTCCAGGTTGCCCAAGGCAAAACCAGGGTGCGCTGAGGTGGAACAAATGAAAAACTTCTGAAATGATAGCACCATGAAGTTCTAGAAGAACCCAAATCTGAAATAATTTCTCAGATAATTAGATGACCATAATGAAGTTTATGGCTAGTGAATCTAGAGTAGATAAATATGAGAGACAGAGACAGACAGACAGACAGACAGACACACACACACACACACACACACACACACACACACACACACACACACACACACACATTTGGAAAGTACGAATGTCCAATATAGGAAAGAACTGGATTCCACGAAACAGATTCAAACAGATACCCAGGAAATAAAAATTCTATTGAAAAGAAACAAACCAACTGAGGATAGAAAACCAGATCTAGAAGACAGGTTTGCAGTTAGTAATCATCAAGTAAAAAAGCAAGGGACTGCAAAGATCAACAGCTGCTAAACAATACAAAAAATGAGTAACAGAAGATTGATTAGAATCAATTAAAATAACAGAAAATACAAGAGGAAGAAATAAAAGAAATAGGATAGGAAAGGAAGGAATTAAATTACCATTATTTGCAGATGACATGATACTTTACATAGAAGACCCCAAAATACTACCAAAAGATTGCTAGATTTAATAACCAAATTCAACAGTACAGCACGATACAAACAAAGTCAACACTCAAAAAGTCAATAACCATCCTGTATATAAATAAACTCAGAGAAATTAGGGAAGCAACACTTCTCATAATAGCATCAGGAAAAACAGAAGTACTTAGGAAACAATCTAACAAAGGAAGTAAAAGACTTTTACTATGAAAACTACAGTACTCTGAAAAAGGAGACAGAAGAACATAACAGAAAATGGAAAGATATCCCTTGCTCTTGGATCAGTAGAACCAGTGTAGTTGAAATGGCCATACTTCCAAAACTGGAAGTGCAGTCCTAATCAAAATACCGACAGCATACTGCACAGAACTAGATAGAGAAAACAATCCTAAAACTCACTGGAATCAGAAGAGACCCAGAAAAGCAAAAGCAATTCTGGGCAAAAAGGCAACGCAGGGGGCATCACAATCATCGACCTGAAATTATACTACAAAGCCACTATAATAAAAAGCATAGTACTGGCAAAACAAAGCAACAGACCAAGGATCAGTGGAATAGACTAGAAGATGCAGAACAACTCCAAGAACCTTCAGCCTCCTATCTTTCACAAAGGGGCCCAACCCCGTCCCTGAAAGAAAGCCTCTTTAGTAATGATGTGGGAAAAACTGGCTGTCCACACTCTGAGGAGCGAATGTGGACCCAGCTCTTACCCTGCACTAAATGAAAATCAAAGTGGATTGAGATCCAAGTATTAAAACACAAATATTAATATGCTGGAAGATAAAATAGGTAAAACTGTTGAAGACACAGCTACATGTAGACAAGAAGTTTATGAATAAAACACAGGAAAAGTTACAAAGAATCAACAACTGGGATCTCATTAAAAAACTTTTTAACAGCAAAAGAAACCAACAACAGAACGAAGAGACAATTCACAGAACAGGAAAAAATTTTTTACCAGCTATTTCTCAAAGGACTAATATCTTGAATACATAAAGACTCAATCCAAAAATAGGCATTTGAAATAAAGACACTTCTCAGATGAAATCTAATCAGCAAAATAATATATGAAACAATGTTCAACATCATTGGTCATTTAGAAATTAAGATACCCAGTAACAAACATGGCAAAGCATTTGCCGGTGGGAAAAAAGGGGCCCCTCTCCACCTCTGGTGAGGGTATAAGTTGGTATAACCAACATAGAAATCAATGTGGAGACTCCTCAAGAAGTGAAAAGAGAGTCTCCATTTGACCCAGCTCTTCCCTCCCTCTAGGCACCTTCCCAGAAGACTTAAAGCCATCGTGCCACAGAGACGCCTGTAGCCCCCCAGGTTCCCAGCAGCACAATTTATAATGTGAAATCCTGCCGACAGCCCAGATGCCCTGGGCATGAGGGACAGAGAAGTGTGCTGTCTACGAACAGAGGAGGACTGCTCTGGCAGAAAGAAGAGTAAATGTACTTCGGGACCACCATCTTAAGTGACACAAATCAGACACGCATTTAAATTTCAGTTTTTCTTGCATGAAAAAACCCAAAGTAAGGAGCAATATAGAGGACAGATACTAAGAAGAAGAATTTTTTCAGTGGGAAGGGGAACAAGAGATGAAGTAGGGGTGGGAAGCAGGGGAAGAGGAATTTATTAAAAGTCAAGGGAAAAAAATGGAAAGACAGCTTTTGCAAATGGGAAGAGGAAGGAGACAAAAATAAATGACCCTGCTATATACACGTCCACGTTTCTTGAGATGAATGTGGGCACTACACGCTGCAGACGCAGTATACTGAACAACAGCCAGCGGCCCCACGCACCCACCTGGGGTGCCTGCTGGTGCGGTTGGGAGTACGGAATTGGGGCACACATGTGTGGCGCAGTTCAGCCCAGGGAGCTGCCCCAAGCAAATAGCAAGT